TGTAGCCGTAGCCAAAAGAGGCCCATACTTTCGAGAATGCCCCATATGTTGGACTTCCTCCATTTTCATCGGGTCCATGCTTGGTGCAAGGATCACGCCAGACGTCCTTACCTTCAACTGCGCCGCTGCCTCAGTTCTGGCTCCGCCCGAAGTCTATGGGTCAGAAGTTTCAGGCACCTTGAAATCTAGCGGTTTACAGGGTGTATGTAGGGGTTTATAGGGGTTATTTAGCCTTGAAATCTAAAACCTAACACGCAGCATGAGATCCCAATTTAGTTTCAATCCCGGATCCCAAACCCATATGAGCTATAGTCTAAACTTCTAGTATCCCCCTTAATAAAGCCTATAGTAGTCCCGTGTATAATCCCCTATATAATCCCCTATAAGGAGTTTAGGGGAAATAGCTCATATGTCCGTATGGCGACAGCACTTCTGCTCACGTTGCTGGCCTGCCTGCTTGAGCTTTTTGGTTCTGGATCCAACACTACAACTGGGTAAAGTTATATTGGGGTGAATATTGGGATTATATTAGGATAATGGAAAAGAAAATGGAAACTACTATTTAGGGTTTAGGGTTAAGATTGGGGTTCTATGGGTTAGGCCCCTGGGATATTTAATATTTTCCCAAATGGCTTTAATAGGGGACCCTATATATGAATATTTGTTAAAGGGTTTTAGGGGCCAACCCAGACAAGGGCCCGAACAGTTATCAATACTTTGGTCCTCGCTCTGGTAGAACGATGGTGAAGTAACAGGTACCTCAAATACACCTAGATATGATCCTTGAAGCCCTCACCACAAAACACCAAACATTACCTTTCTGTGTCCTATGGATATGCCCCGTATCCCCTTTCTTCCGGGCCTTTGGTAGTTCAGGCGTTTGATTGGTTAGCCTGCCCTTCTGTTTCACCTGCTCGGCAGGCCGATCAAATCATGCGGCACTCTGCACTGTGTAGCTGCACTCGCATCTCATCTGAACCCTAAGCTCTAAATCCTAAACCCTAAACCCGGCACCCCAAACCCCAAACCCCAGGTGAAACTGGTCCCTCTCTTTCAGTGATTTGTGCTGATTGTCAGTGCTTTGGCTACCACCTTGGGCCGTGTTACATAACATTTCCGTGGACATGAGCTGCGGAGAAAAGGCCCCATAAAACAAAAAAATCCTAGCCTTGCACGCCTTCAATCCTGAGAGCACCGAATGTTGACTTCAAAGGCATGACTTTGATTCTAGTAGGACACCAAAGCCGAAACGAATTCAATAAGGGTCCCTTCAATGGGTTTATAGGGGCTATATAGGGGTTTATAAGGGTATATAGGGTTTCGGTTTAGGGTTTAGTTAAATCATGTAGGAGACTGAAGAACTACCTTGTACCGGTGTCTGAGGGCCCAGGCCAGCAAGTTTGCGTGCAGCAGACCTAATTCCAAAGACTTACCTATATATTACGGTTCTATATGGTAGTTTCCCAAAATAAGAGGACCCCAATATAGACCCCCGAATATTATAGTCCTGTTTATGGGGATCCCCAAAATGGTACCCCTAATATCAGGAAATCCCTATATTGCTCGTATGATTATGGCAGCGGCTACCTCAAGTAGACCTCAAAGTGATGTTGGAAATGTTCAGGCCCCGACGGTATGTGTCTGAATCCTTTCAAATGGCCTCGCAACACATCCTAAAATTCTAGATGGATCTTCATGAAATTGCAACGTTGCCTTGAGGCGTGCGCATGGCCCATGAACCTTTTCAACAGCGAAGAAGCTCTACTACGGCTCAAAATAGCCCAAAAGCCTTTTATAGTATGGTCTTTGGGGTCAAAAGCCTCAAAATACGACCCCTTGGAGCCTTAGGGATAGGGTTTAGGTTTTGGGATTCTCTGTCCAAGCCACGTAATGCGCACGGCAGTACGGTGACCTGTGGTAGAAGTGTGTAGTTTAGGGTTTAGGGACTGTAGGCCGGTGCTGAAGCCAAGAGTTAGCAAAGTGCCCCACCACAATGAGGCTCTTCTGGTGGCCGAAAACCACAAAAGAAGAACCCTACAGTTATCAAATTACTCTTAAAGGGTCCTCATGCTGGTGTTGGGGATACCCAGATCCCCTTATAAGCTACTATAAATCCCTCGAAAACCACATTTCCTTTTATCTTTCCAGTTTGTTTTCTATTTGGAACTCCGTTCTTGTAGCCCAAATCTCGTTATTACATTATTAGCTGGACTCAGAAATAAGTACCTTGCCCACTCTTGAATACTATAGGGATATGTATCGTGGGGGTACATAGCGACATAGCGGAATGCAGGAGTTATGGAGAATCAAATGGAAGAGAAGGTGAAAAATCAGATGGAATCTGGGATAAGCTTTAATTCTAACTTCATGGATCACTAAGATTCGTGCAGGAACCGCAGGAACCCTAAACCCTAAACCGGGCCACATTGAATCCACCCACGTCCTTCATACGCAGCCTCCACATGGTTTGGGGTTTTGCGTCTTGAAACCTTAGAGCCGAGGTTGGCAAAGGATCTTTGGTTTAGGGTTTAGGGTTTAGGGGCTTAGGGTTTAGGGCTTAGGGTTTAGGGGCTTAGGGTTTAGGGTGCCCCACATCCGAAAATGACGACCCTGTGACCATCATGTGACTTGTATTCTAGGGTCATCGCAGGGGTTGGGGTTGCTACAACCGCCTTCTAGAGACAACTATGTGATCCCAGTTCCTGTGTAGTTTTAGATTTTCTTTTCCACGTGAAAACTGTAATGCCCTACAACATAAACAGTATTGGGGTAACATCGCTATACCCTGCCCTAAGGGTCCAAGTACCCAACAATCATACACTTTCCCAAAACCTGTCCTACAATCATCATTACCCAAAGCCCAAGTACCTAATTATTTGGTACTTGGACCCTAAACCCTAAACCCTACATACCCCAACATAACCCTAAACCCTGGGACCTAATTCTTGGGTACATATCATCCCTACACCTAATTCCTCTTCCTATTGTTGATACTAAAAATCCTGCATGACCTTAATATACTATAGTACCCTCATTCCCAAGGTATCAGGACCCCTAAACCCTAAATCCTAAGCCTTAAACCCCCTAAATCACCTACATTGGATTATTGGGAATTTGAGTATCCATCCTAGGTCATCAAGAGTTGTGCTCGAGCTGGCAGCGAACCAAGAAAGGATTGCTTTGTTCATGTATTAGGGTTTAGGGTTGAGAGTTTAGGGTTCAGGGGGGTGGTCCAAGGGGGGTAGGTCGCCTAGTAATCCCCATTATTCCCTTATACTCCTCAGCTTATGTGTACCATAGTCTAAACTCCTTAAGGGGGGTTTATACATACCGCAAGAATGGAGAATCAAATGGAAAAGAACATGGAACATGAAATGGACACTGCTATATATGGGGTTATATAAGGATTATATGAGCTGTTATATGAGCTGTAGTCTAAACGCCGTAAGGGGTGTTATCTAGGGGATTACATAGGGTATTATTATAGGGGATATTAAGGGGGATACAAGGTTTGAAGGAACTATGGGGATGTACGGGGCTGGCTATATAGGGCTATATAAGGATATATATATATATATGGTACCCCCCCCTTCCCCCCCCCTCCAAAAAAAAAACACACACACACACGCACACACATGTTTAGTATACCTTGTAGCATTTGCCACAACCATAAGACAAAACGTAACCCAATCCTTACGTATTTCTTACGTTCCCCTGGCTCAGGTACCTGATGAACGAGAACCTTCATGCTGGTGTCTACAAGGGCTGTTGGGATGGTGTCTTGGGATGGTGGGGCCATGGCTATTGGGAGAGTGTGCTGGGAGTCTGCGGTATTGGGGTTTCCTCTTGTGCGCCTCCAACAAAAACAGGCAATCATAAGCTTAAACCGTATTAATTACAGAATTCCACGTTTCCACATTTCCACATTTACAGCCCCTAACTTTCCACATTTCCACATTTCCACATTTGCAGCGGCTGCAAACGTGGAAATGTGGAAAGTTAGAGGCTGCAAATGTGGAAATGTGGAAATGTGGAAAGTTAGAGATTGTAAATGTGGAAATGTGGAAAGTTAAAGGCTGCAAATGTGGAAATGTGGAAATGTGGAAATTTAATATGCTTTAGATTGGTTGCTCTAAAGTAAAACAATAATAAAGCAGAACAGTATTGAAATACTGTAATTCCATTTATTGACTTATCCCGAATTTGAATGGCACTACCCNNGCGGCTACCCATTAAACCCCCCCCCTCCCTCGCGGCTGCCCGTGGACCCCTCCCCCCCTCTCGCGACTACCCGTTGAACTGCCCCCCCCCTCGCGGCTACCCGTTGAACTCTCATAACCGGTCGAACGCGCAAAATACTAAAAAAAATCGTATGGGGGACCATAGCAGGAAAATCACAGGTTTTACTATCTAAATATTATATTTAGTATTAGTATGAGTACTGCTTCCCTGACTAATATATTACATGTTATGATATGAGGCTATTGTCTCTGCTACTGCTAGTATTTTTCTTACTAGTCCGAATATTTTTTATTCATTATTCTTGTACTACTACTAATACCCTTATTTTTATTCTTATTACTACTGCTCGTAGTTCTGTGATTTGTTTCCCTACTGCTACTGCTACTACTACTGTTACTGCTAGCTGCATCCAAAAAGTTGAAGCGCCATTTGTGCGATCCTAGCTATCTTCAGTATCAAAGTTTGCTCCTGCAGTCTCTTGTGTCCATTTAGCAGAAATGGCCCTTGACGCCGACAACGTCTCCTTCACTGACGCTCAAACCGCCACGGAGTCAATGGTTCTTCGGGATATGAACGAGCATGTGTGCGTGGGACCCATACCACCGGGGTCCAGTAACATCACCAACTTACCAATCCGCGAGTATCTCATTTTAATATAACATGTTCAGTTTCACTGTGTCTTGGTAAGTAGTAGTGTAAATAATTTGGCCGCTATGATATACATTACCTAAACCAGGTTGACACGTGGAAATCAATCGATGAAGCACTTCCTGGACGTCGTCCATAATGTCCCCGCTACCTCCATCGACATGGACCAGCTAAAACAGATCATTAAAGACAAAGCTTGGGCAGAACTACCAGACGTACTTCAGCTCAAAAAACGACCAGGATTCAGCTACAAGTCTCAGTACTTCATCATTCCCCAACAGAATGGCAACCTGACTGTCGTCAAGCACTACTATCTCCCCGATACAAAGGTCCAGCCCCACAAGCTCATGGACTTGGCAAAGGGCAAGTGTCATGAGGTCAAATGGGGCAACGGCCACAAGATGCTTGAGCGGAAAGCCTTCCAGTGGATGCTGGAGCAGTATGGGGGGCACTCAGTTTCGACACTTCTCGCTTACCAGTGACAAAAAGCGCAGTGCTTCCTCGTCGGTTCTCGCAACATCAACAGATGAAGAGCAAGATTTAGGTTGGGCATTCCTGATCGAGCATGGGGAGAGGGACAAGTCTGACTTGAAACAACTTAGGTGGATTCATCGGCACATCAACAAGGACGGGTCCCCCATCAAAGGCTGGTCGGAAAAGCTGGTCCAAAGGGCTTTGGATTCACTCGCCCATGACGGCTGTCTAGCTTCCCTGACCGACCGGTATGACCTGACCATGCAGGATTTCGAGCCCCTTTTCATGGACAACGTTATGCAGCCCATCATCCCGTACCTCTTGGACCATAGTCTATGGCTTCTCGGCGAGCCTGGTAAAGGCAAAACTCCTCTCGCACGCAGTTTAGCCATGATGTTTAGCCGGCATCACGGAGGACACTCTGGCAATGCTTGCTTTCGTACTGCTTCAGATTTCGAATTTTTCAGAGGCATGTACTTCAGCAAAGCCATTCCTGCCCTCTACGATGACGGCGACATCTCTCGGGAAGCCGTCAAAAAAATGAAGGCATTCGCAGACGTCGGCGACCATGAAACGATTCTAAAAGAGCGATGGAATGCTGCGAAATTCGTGAAACATCAGTTGCGCATCTTTTTGGACAACTCATACGACCCCAAGGATATCCCAGATGGCGAACATGAGAGTATCTCCCACGAAACATTCGTCAAGCTACTTCGTCCCGCACTTGGATGCATTCCTAATGCCGACATTCGCGCCATCTTCAAGCGCAGTGCCTTCGTGATTTTCACAAAGGATTCCGTTACTAGGCGGCAACTTACTTATTAAAAGTCTATAGTATATTCAGTAACTGTTGCAATACCAACTTATAATTTACTATTGGTAGGTAAACTGAATAGCAGCCTAGGTGTACTGGCGACTTCCATCTCAGCAACCTCAAAATGTTCCGCGCTATCCGTATGCACTGAAAGACATTCTCTTGGATGAAGCCAAGCCTCGATTTGCGAACTACAAGCAGGATGGCCCTCCGCCCCCTGACTTTGCCCATAGGGTTGAAACTGAGAAGGTTGGCTCCGGGAAATTCTGCGCAAGTACAGGCCGCAACTCGAACAGCACTTGAACATGGCCCCTGCGAACCTCCCGCGTGACCCTTCGAGGAGGCCAATGAGGGCTTGGCTGCGATGTGCAATGGCGAGGCGCTATCCGCAGACAGTCCTCCTCCTCGTGCTCTTGTTGCTCCTGCGACCCCTTCGCATGCCCGCATCAAGAAAGAAAAGTTCGATCAAAGCTATGCGCGGTTCATGTTGGCCAGCAGCGCCTGGAGCCGCAGTTTGGGAAGCAATGCCGTCGATCATTGACTTGGCTACTCCATCTCCGTCTCGTCACGGCAGTACTCAAGGGGATGATCCTCTTCATTTGGAAGCTACTCCTCCTTCAGAGACCTCTCACCCAGAACTTCTTCCTGAAAGAGCGGCAACATCACCAAGGTCCCCGCCGGCATTTGCACCCCTACCCGCACCGCCTAAGGACATGGCTGATGCACCTACCACATCTACTTCATTGCCCCCAAATCCCGACTTTGATGTCCACGGTGAGCCCATGGATGTGGACGAACTTTCGGAGGAAGATGTCTTCGGATTCGGTGGTTCCCTCGGTGAGACAGGTGAGCCGTAATAGTTCTAGACAGTCGGCCACTTTCCAGTGTACACAGTTGATTCGATCCTGTGTTCGAAGCATGTGAGCCCATTTTGCGAACTGTATTATTCTAAGTTTCCTTTGTGAGCATTGACAAGTGAAATCTTTGTTGTTTATATAAGATTTTCTATTGACTGTCTTTGTCGGTTCGGTGGCTCACTAACACCTCTATGCAAGAGGCGCGAGAATGCGGCCAAAACAATCGATACTTTTCAGGCGCACGCGCATGCAGGTTGTTTGCGCGCCTGCTCGTCAATTCGTATATGTCCTGCAAGGTTCTCAAGCGCGGTAGTTGCTGGTGATAGATATACGGGGTAGTTTGTGTGCATCGTGGGGAAGAGAGCGAGTCCGATTGTTCCTAAAAAAGGTAAGTTTCGCTCCGTGCAAAAGCGCCCAGCTTCCAAGAAGAACAAAGCTTGGATAACAACCAATTACATCCGGGAAAAGCTTGCAGTCGATTCCCGTGGGCAGCGAAAGTATCAGATCAAGTGGAAACGAACTCTCACTGAGCTACTTCTTGCCTCCAACAAGAAGATAATCCAGATTCTAGTCACGGACAAGATCCTCGTGAACTGGACAGGGAAGTGCTGCCCTCGTGCGAGGCAGGCACTTTATCGGATCTGAAGCTCCACAAGTCGAGTGGGCAGTACAAGCATCGCTGCTCTTCACGCGGCTGCCACGTATGGATTAGCCCTCACCATCCCCATCCTCTCTTCACGGATTGGCGAAGCGCACAAAGCCTCCAGATTCAGAGTGGCATGCTTCTCCTCAAGCTTCTTCGAGTGTCGCATCCGTCCATCCATACCTCCTCAACGTCAACCACAAAGCCATTGAGGATATGGAGAAAAAGTTGCGTGAACTCCGACGAGATTTTGTTAAGAAGAAAGAGCGGGAGATCGTATTCGGCAAGCTCAAAGGTTGGAAAGATGTTGAGGCGGAAACTTGGTTTCAGTTTTTCAGATTCATTACTCACGCCACTATATTTTGTCTTGGTCTCTTTTCATCTGACTCTTTGAGAAAAACCATATAATCCCAATAACATGCTTTCAACTTTTGAGAATAAGGTCAAATAATGTAGGTATAAAGTTTTCGTAACCATGCAACCCGCTAACATGATCATATTTCTTATTCTTAAGTAATCCATTTAGTTCGATTTTTTCTTGCCGCTTACGCATTCTAGGACGAAGCGACCTTCGACAAAAAGGACATCTCTCAATCGCTCCAATTCCAGCGTCTCCAAGTCACACAACCATGTGGGAACAGTGGGCCGGAATCATCCGAAGAGGTAATCTGGAGTCGTTGGTGCTTTGCAGACTGAAGCCTAAACTCACCGTGAAAAGGGCTCCCGGTCCAGGAGCAATTCGTCGTATTGAATGGAAGAACATCGGGGAGAAACTCTTGCGAAACAGAAAGGTAGTGTTGCACACAGACTCCGCGAAGTCTTACAAGCTCGTCATGCCAGGCATCATCCATGACAGGGTCATCCATTGCAAGAAGCGTGTGAAGCGAAACGGAAAGTATGTATGGATCCAACCCAAGTACGTATCCCTTGTGAAGCACACTATCCCGGGGTCCCGCAAAAAGCTCGTCGTGAAGTCGGGGACGCAGATTATCGATAGATGCTGGCGGTACCTGAAGGACCGTGTACAGATTAATCAACACTGCAAAGCCAAAAGTAAGTTGCTCCGTGCCAAGTTCAGAGCCGCACAGTACGAGTATTGGTACAAGAATTCGGATCTCTGGTTGAAGTGCAGTGAGCTTTGCGCACACAAGATGTGCGACTTCGTGTAGCCAGGTATCGTATGCTCCACACTGCTCTGCGCGACAATGTATTGCCCTCGTATCGGTTGCGATGCTGTAGTGGTATGCTCAGCACGAGCGTGACTGCTATCTGTGTGCGCAGACGCAGTACATGCTTCGCATAGACGCCTCACGGATTTCCGTCCCAATTTCTATGGAATTGCCGACACTGTACATGCTTCGCGTAAACGCCTTACAGACTTCGGTCTTTATTCTTTTGGATTTTGATATCCAGAAATTAAGCAACTTCTAACCGGATTTTTATTACAGTTAATATGTATTTATGTATGTGT